ATTTTATTGAAAATAAATACATACTCCCTGAAATGAAAATAAAATATTAATAATAACTTTAAATAAATGTTAGAATTAATATTACGGTAATTTTAATATAATATTGTAATAAAGTTGATAGTTTGTTTAAATTTTTATCTCAAAAACATTACAGGAATGATAGAAAAACCTTAGCAAAATGTTATTTGCAACGTTATGGCACTCCCATTTCAACATTACTGAAATTTCGGAATCGTGGTCAAAGTATATTCGTAATGATGTTCTATACAACATTAAGAACTACATATTTAACAACATTACAAGTTCTAGAATATTGTTGCAATAACATTGTAATAATGATTTTTTGCTTACTGGGAAGTAAGAAAAATTTAAACTTGGTATAAACTGCGTTCCAATATTTTAATATCCAGTACTGAAAATCTAAAGTGCGTATGTATAACTGTTCGAGATTCCGTTAACGTTGCGCCGTCCGATCAGATGGCAGCATCGATCGGGTAACGACGCTCGATCACCGCGGCAGCTTGCGCCCGCACGGGCGCGCTCATCGCCAACGTTTTCCTCGTAATTGTGCAAATGGCCGCGCGGTGACAAGTCGCATAACGTGTGCTCAGTACGTTTCGATAAGTGACTTCGGTTAATCGTGCACATCGCAGTGCCCACGCTGCTTAGACTTCTCATTTAAACTGTGAAATAGACCGCTCATCAACTCTGGTGCCTCAACACGATGACTCAAGCTCACACGTGCGCGAGTGCCGACCGCCACGTGTCTCACCGGCTCACGGGCGACTCACCACACGAGGAGGGCAATTGATATAATTGTCGCTCGACTTCAACGATCATACAAAGACGTCTCATTTATACACCGCTCATCGATTCTCAGGTCAGACTGTAACAATTTCGATACATTAAAGACGGCTCAGACTGTGGTCTGAGTTACACAAAATAAAGTGCATAATTAGTTTAACACCTTCCACGCGCGTCCTTCTCATCCCGCTCCCATTGTCGGGATTAATCAGCGATTTCGCGAACATTTGGTCCTTCGAGCCGGATGCGTGGAAATTAGAGTGTAACTCAGACTCAGATCATATGAACAGAGCATGCCTTTCACGACATGCCACGTGGACATTATCGCGCGCTTTCGCGAGTGAAGGACAGACATTCTCACGCGCGCTCGCGAGTGTTACGAAAACATGTTCACGCGCTCCCGCGAGTGTAAATAGACTTTTTTACGTGCTCAATACATGACATTGTAGACTCTCGATTCGCGTAGTGTTGTCCTAACGCGTTTCTCGAACGTTCTTGCCTCTTGCAGTGTTTCTCATACGTGTCTCGACATTTCTCAGGTCTCTCATCGGGCGCAGCTCATTGACGTCTCATCATGCCGGATCCCGCCAAAGCCGGGACGGGCGGCAAGACCCCGCCATTGCTCGAGCTGCCGGACGACAAGCGCACTTCAGATCGCCAGACCTCACCGGTGCGTTTGTCTGCGGAACTCACGTTAAAGGTGCAGACACAAATGAACCGCATCGCGACAGTGCGGAAAATCGGCGAGACGTTGCCATCGACTCCAGATGACACGTCAGTGGATGAGGTCCTGCAGATCTCGATCCAGCTCGAGGAAGTGCACAAGGCATTCCTCAAGGAACACGCCTATTTCGAGGTCTCATGGCCGGCGGCGCTCATTTCTCACGAGTATTTCTCAAAAAACGCCTTCGCCGTGGAGGCGGAAGAGTGTATGACGGCTTGTCGCGCTCTGGCAAAGCTCAAGGGCGCATTGGCGGAAAAGATCGCTCCAACGACAGCTCCTGTAGCGGCGCAGCCCTCACAATCACAGCAGAGATTGCCGGACATCAGCATCCCGTCCTTCAAGGGTGTGTACGAGGCATGGCCTACGTATCGCGATCTCTTCAAGGCGGTTATTTATGACAGCCAACGGCTCACAGACGTGGAGAAACTCCACTATCTGCGGCTCTCACTGGAAGGCCCACCTGCTCAGCTCATTTCCGGTTTGCCTCTCACCGGCGACTCGCTCAAACCATCCTGGGAAATGCTCGTCGATCGCTACGAGAACAAGCGGCTGCTCATTCAGTCTTATCTGGACCAGCTCTTTGCCAGCTCAACACCGGTGCAGAAGAACGCCAAGGCACTGGACAAGCTGCTCAACACGTTCAAGGAGGGCATCAAGGGCCTACAATCCTTGGGCGTCTCGCAGGATCTGGGCGACTGCGTCCTGGTGTACCAGTTGTCTAGGCAGCTGGATCGCCAAACCAAGGAGCAGTGGGAGACATCGTTGGGCGCCGCGCGCGAGTATCCGCGATTCGAGAAACTCGAGCAATTTCTCATCTCGCGAGCACGAGCACTCAAGATGATCGAATCAACGGCCAGCTCAGGAAGCTCGGCAGGGGCTGCTTCAACAACACGGCGCTCCTCAACGGCTCATCATGCGGCAGCTCAACCGGCACGCACCAATACATCAGACGGCTCAACGGAGTACCCGTGCGACTGCTGTAACGGCACGCACTTCGTGGTGATGTGCCCTAAGTTCAGGGAACTCTCACCGGGCGATTGACAGAAGCTAGTCATCTCAAGGAGGCTGTGCTTCAACTGCCTCGGCCGTCACAACGTTCGCTCATGCAAGAGCTCACGGGGGTGCAAGAAGTGCACCCACCGACATCATACGATGCTGCATGAGGCACATCAGAGCGACTCATCTTCGAAGCCAACCACCAGCTCAGCCTTAGCACCTCAATAGGACAACGGTGCAATCGTCACTCACTCATTTTTGGCTCGCTCATCACACTCAACATTACTCGCTACGACCCTGGCTCAGATCAGCTCATCGGTTAATACTCAGCACGTACGGCTTCTCATCGATACAGGTTCTGAACTTACCTTTGTCTCAGAATCGCTCATTCGTCAGCTCAACATACTTCGTCATCATTCTGTCATTCTCATCACCGGAATTGGTGGCGGAAAGTCCACGCAAACTCGAGGAGTTGCATTCCTCAAGCTCCGCTCACTTCGCTCAAAATCAGACGTCATCATTCAAGCTCACATTCTGCAGACGTTAACAAACATCTTGCCATCATTCATCGCTGCACCACAGGAATGGCCGCATCTCACCAAGTTAGCCTTGGCGGATCCAGATTTTCTGACACCACAGCCAGTGGATATTATCATTAGAGCTGACTCATATGGGCAGATCATCAAGCCCAACATCATCAAACGGGATACATTAATGCCAATTGCGCAGTTCTCAATCTTTGGATGGCTCGTTCTCGGGCCTGTCGACACATCATCATCGGCACCTGCTGCAGTGCATCATGCATCGATTCAGGAGCGGGAAGATGCTCTCGACGAGTTACTGTCGAGATTTTGGACACAGGAAGAAGTGCCTGCGAGCAACAATCCTGAGCTTACTCCTGACGAGCAAAGATGTGAAAAACATTTCAAGAGTACTGTCTCACGGGATTCAACAGGTCGATACACAGTTCCACTAAAATCATCACCTGATACTCTTGGCGATTCGTATCTCACTGCGCATCGATGTTTGCAAAGTTTACAAAAGAGACTCTCCCGAGATGACAACTATCGACGTCTGTATCATCAATTTATGACAGAATATCGAGATCTCAACCACATGAAGAAAGCCTCACCCGTTTCCAGTCAGCAAACGCAATATTATTTGCCACATCACGGAGTGCTCAAACCAGACAGTGCAACCACGAAATTACGTGTGGTATTCAATGGCTCGAGCGCATCCACATCTGGCCGCTCACTTAATGATATCATGCACACGAGAGCCAAGTTGCATTTAGACGTCACCGATGTCTTACTCTGGATTCGACAATTTCGACACCTAGTTGCCACGGACATCACCAAGATGTATAGACAGATCAACGTGCATGAAGATGACTGGAACTTACAACGGATTCTCTGGCTCGACAAACTGCTCAATGAAGTGGCATATTATCTAACCACGGTCACGTATAGCACCAAGGCTGCCCCGTTCTTGGCAGGAATGTTTAAAAGGAATGTTTAGAACACTGATTACACTTACATTTCCTGGTTAGCGTTTATTTTATGACATGTTGTATTTTACAAATTTTACTTCCAAAACACAGAAAATACCTTCCAGCCTGTGATGACACCACGTATACGCCAACGAACCTGCACGGTATCGTTTTCAGAATGCATTGTGTAAGATGTCTTTAGGATGTCAAGCTTGACGTGTGCAATCTTCATATGACCAATGAACCTTAACAGTATCAATTGCTTCGCATAACTCACAAGTCCCCTGCAATATTTTTTAAGCATATTATGAGAAAATGGAAATACTTAATGCTAAAAACTATCAATTGCTTTGAATACTTAATAAAATTAATTTTCGTTACTCCTCTAATATTGCTGATAAAAATTATATTATAATAATGGATAACAGGGACTCAATTCACAAATATTTTAGCATAACTACAATATAAATTGTGCTACAGAACGTTTCCTCGTTCTTTTCAACTTTTAGAATTTACAACACAGCATATACGTACATACATGTGCAATTTTGGATACACCTTCCTTCTTAAAGATCTCTTCGGTATCAGCTCCCTGCGGTCAATATATAGCGGCAAAATTGTATACCATATAGTTGAATATAAAATGTTCCTGCGTGAGAAAACGAGAGAAAAGGAGGACATTTATAATAGGTAATGACACGCGATACGAACCACGCAATAGTGTTAATTCGGGATTGGGAAAAGAAAGAGGGGGTAAAGGAGAAGAGATTCTTACAATTAGAGGCACTCTGTAGCAACTCGTATTATCTAGCACAAAAGGACCTTTTGTGCTAGACAATTATTCCTCAACAGTGTCTGAGAATTATTATATTTTGAAGACGCGAGATTGTACATTCAAAGCATTCAAGTTAACGAAAGTAAAGTACAATATAAACATTCTTCGGAGAAATCTTTATTACCCGATAGTGCCTGTCACACGTGCATATAACTACAGATCACTTTCTCGTTCTCTTAACTTTTACAACTTTTACAAATCAACATATATACGTACGTGTGCGATTTTGGATACACCTTCTTTCTGAAAGATCTCCTCGGCATCAGCTCCCTGCCGTCAATATATATTTCACTATCACTGTCATCTATCACGCGGCGATGGTCACGACTCTGCCACTGTCACTATCTATTTTTAGGTTAACGTTGTATTCCAGCATAGATCGGTCTTTCTTAACAGCTTCATGCGTCTGTGATTGAGAAAGAAATCTGATAAGCTCTGTATACCAACTCAATATAAGCAACATATATACGAATATGTATATATATTTTAGATAAAAACAGTCAGTAAACTTTTATAAAACAGTACTCTTTGAAATAACCCTGCTAAAAATGACCGATTGAATCCGATTAAAAATTTTGAATCCGCATGAATCTGGATTCTTGATCCGGAAATCACGGATTTATAACAATTACACCGACTGAAAACGATTGAAACGGATTGGTATTCAAGGATGTAATTTCAATCGGATTCTATCGATTTGAATTGTTATGATTTTATAACGATTACACTGATTGAAAACGATTGAAACGGATTGGTATTCAAAGATGTAATTTCAATCGGTTCCTATCGGTTTGAATCGTTACACGCAGAAAATTTTTCTCGAAAATACAAGTATACACGAACAAAGTAAATACCATACTAATCTTGCACGGCTAGGATATAGTCATAATATGCAAAAGATTTCAAGAAAGTATAGGAAATTTAGAGAGCAAAGAATAAAAATATGGCTGATGGACAAGAAACGAGACGTCTGTTGCAGTCATGGCAAAAACATAAGTTGCTATTATAGGCTATGGCGGTCAGCTGTCCGCCACGAGCGAACTTGAGAACGCTGTTGAAACCCTGCCGAGCTGCCCTAGATATAGGGGTCGATGTTGAATCTTAATCACGCGAGAATATACCGGCGATGCGCCGCGTAGCGGGCGCGAACCGAACCCTTTCGCCGCGCAAGCCCGCGTTGCCGCTCGCGCCGCGCGCCTTCCGTCGTTAGTATAGGACTTTTTTTACTTTTCTTATATTTCCTTGTTATAATCCGAGAGGTAGCGACACAAAAGTGTCAGCGATTTTTTATTAGTCTTGGAACAAAGTAATTTCTCTTGTTTTAATAGTGTTGTTGATGAAATGCAGAGTCTGGCTGCGCTGTCTCGCTGGAATGGGCGTTGCGGCGCCTTTGATTTTGTCGAAAAAACACTTATGTTGGAAGAATTTGATTAGTGCTGAGCTTTTATATATTTA